AGAAAGAAAGTTTTGAGCACAAGGATTGTAAACAGTAGAAAAACAATACGTCATGTTATATAATAACTGTAAAAATTGCATATATCTTTCACAGTTATTCCAATCATCATCATAGAAAGCATTTTGTGGAAATTTTTGGTTGTAAAATAATGTTAACAGGCCTTTGTACTCAATTGCCTTTGTTAACATGTCATAGGTGGAATTCCACCTAGTTGGGCAATCGGTTCTAATTTTTATTACCCTTATCTTTTGTTGTCTTAGAAAACTCTTCCATTCTTGGTATCTCATGTTAGAGCTATTAATAGACATAATAGCATCTCTAATTTTGCTGTAGTATGGGCCAATTGCCCGAACTCCATCCTGTACACATAAGTTAAGTACATGGCAAACACATCTAGTATGAAGAGCTTCACCATCTAATAGTACATCGGTTAAGTTTTGTTCGATAAGATTAGCTGTGTATGTCATAGAGGTTGCATTATCAAAAGTCATAGACATCATTTTATCTCGAAGGTTGTATTCGTCTATTGCTTACATTAAATGGTGAGCAATGTTAATGCCGGTGTGTGGGTATTCCAGCATTTTGAAATATATTATTCTTTTTTGTAACAACCATTGATCATCTACCCAATGGCAAGTCACACATAAATAGTGATATTTATAACCACTATCCCAAGAATCGGCTGTTAAAGATACTCTACAGTTAAGGTTACTCAATTCGGCTTGTAACCGGACTTTGTACTCTAGGAAATTTTTCATTGCGGCGGAACGAACGGTTTTCCTAGAGATTCTTTTATGTTGGGGTTGTAGTGCTTTGTTAATGTAGGTGTTGAATGGGTCACTTTCCGAGAAAAGAAAAGGTTGTTCGGCGTGTACTATCATTTTTCCTAGTTCATCCCTATCCCTCTCATAGTTGTATGTAAAGCCGTATGGATGGAATTGGGAAATTTTGGGCTGGGTTGGATCACTAGCTGGTTCTGCACAAGCTTTCATGTGTCTAGTTAAGTGTCCCGTCTCGGATTTGGTAAATGCCGTGAATACACCATTACATGTTTTACATTTTGCATATGTTTGACCCTGTTTATTTAGGACAAAATAACGCCATACCTCACTCCTTCGGTTTTTCAAAAGTACCATCTCACTTTCGGTTAACCATTCATGATGTGTGTTTGCGTTAGTAGTGGTAGTAGAAGGGGTAGAACCGGAGGGAATTTGGGTACTTTCTTGGCTACTTTGGCTAGAATAATAGTTTTGTTGATCACCGATATAATTAGGTGGGAATTGACCGAATTGTGGGAATTGTTGTGGATTTTGATATTGGTTTGATGGTGAAAATTGGTTTGGTGGTGGTGGTGGTGGAAATTGGTTTGGTGGTGGTGGTGGAAATTGGTTTGGTGGTGGTGGTGGAAATCCCGACATATTATATGGCTCATAGCTCGGGGGGAAGTAAATGGGGTCATTGGTTTGACTCGAAATTTGGGGGCTCGTTGTATTTGGTGGTTCCCTAGAACTACTACTACGGGTAAGTCGGCCTTTCGCCCTAGACCTAGATGATGGGTTGTTCGATGCCATAATTAACAATTAATTTTTTAATAAAAAGTGGTTAACTATAATAATAATAATTAATAACAACAATTTTAACAGTAAAAATATCAATAATAATAATTAATAACAACAACTATAACAATAACAATAACAACAAAAATAAATAATAACAACAATTGTAACAATAATAATAATTAATAACAACAATTATAACAACAACACAACAATAACAATTAACAACAATAATAATTAAACAAGATTATTCTAATAATAACAATAAAACAATAATAAATTAAAGATTAGTTTAGATCTTACAACCGTGCTTCAACGCTCCACTAATTACGATTACGAACTTTTTAATTTTTTCCGATATTAGGAAAATAATTAGAGAATTTAAGAGAATAATTAGAGAATTTAAGAAAATAAGGATTATTAGAGATTTAGAGAATATAAGAGATAAGAAGAAGAGATTGTGATTTTGTGATTTGGGAATGAAATGGAGGTGGGTATTTATAGAATTTTTGGGGAGCAAATTGGCAAAAATATAGCCGTTAAGTAGCCGTTTTTTTGGCTAATTAAGCAACTAGCCGTTGCTTTTAAACGATAATATGGTCGTTGGGCACGCGGGCCGTGCCAGTGTGCCGTGCCGGCGGGCCAGCACGGCGGGCCCTGGCCGTGCTCGTGCCGGGCCGTGCCTGGGAATTCAGAACCCTGTCCGTGGCACGACCCGTGGCACGAAGCTCAACTGCCGTGCCGGGCTGGGGAGCGGACCGTGCCGGGCTGCGTCGAACGGCGGGCCGTGCCGGGCGGCACGCGGGCTAACCCGGCCCGTGCCCAGGTTTATATAGAGATTATTAATACAAAGGGAGTATAAAATGCATGTCCTAAAGTATTTACACGTTTTTCACGTATATGACATTATTTGGTTTCGATTTGATGGTTTAGGCAATCACAATGCATATGGTAAGCTATGCAGGGAAGGCAAGTTTGCAAATTCAAGTAGCAAAAGAAATAATACCTGACCCTGAATTTCTAGCCACCTGCTTTGAAGATGCGTTGCTTGAAATGAAGAAAGCTGCTTGTCACGGACCATCTCCCTTAGATAGCCATGAGCGTCATTTGGGTCACTAGGCAACAGGGCATAATCGTAGCTAGGGAGCTTGCCTTTGGTGCCCAGCTGAGCACCTCCCCCTATAGAGCTTTATTTAGCCCAGGTGGTGTAATCCTAGTGAACACCCAAATGACAATAACACAACAATGGGCCATTTGGAGGCCCAAACGAAGTCCAAATTGGCCCAAATTTGGGGGTCCACCGTATTTGGGCCAAGGAAGACCATGGTGGTGTCGGTTTTCCGAGATGAGGTCCCGAAGTACAAGTTTTGGCAGCAGATAGTTCGGAAAACATGAGGTGCTTTTAGAAGGTTCCGGAGCTATCTACAAGGTTCTTTGGAAGACTATTCTAGAGTGGAGGACTCTAGAATAATCAAGGAAGTTCTGGTACATATTAGGAGTATTCTAGGTCTCTCTACATATGTACATGACTTTTGTAAAGTTCTAGAATGTTGTAGGCTAGTTTTTAGCATTCTAGACTTAGGAAGTGTGTAGAACCTCCTTGTATGTATGTTCCTTTGGAGGTGGGAACTCTCTAGATTAGTATAGTCTGGAACCCTCCATTTGAGGAGGTTAGGAATATTCTAGATAGTCCTTGTAAGTAGGATGGAGCACTATAAATAGGCTCCAAGATTCATTTGTACATTAAAGTTGAGAGTAATACAAAAAGCATTCCAAAAGCATTTGTATTCTCTTGCAACTCAATCTCTTTCCTTCAGACACTTAGAGAGTGTGAGGAAAACCAAGGCACGAGGGTGCCAAGTGAGTGTTCGGGCATACTAGCAAGGGTGATAGCTTGTGTGCTCAACTGTCTACGACACTTAGTTGTAAATTCGGACTAAGGCACTAAGGGTGAGTGCTTAGTTCAACCAAGGGGTCTTGTTAGCACTAAGGGGACGTGCTAGCCAATATATTCTAGCAGCACAAAGGGTTGTGCTACGTAGGCACAAGGAGTGGTGCCAAGGGAGAAAGCCTGACTTGTCTTACGACGGACTGTAAGCAAGTGGCTCACGGTGCGTGACTAGGGCAAAGTAGTCAGCACGTGACATGCTGCTAATAAGATGGGTTGTAAAATTTGAAGGGAGATCATTTAATACGACTACATTGAATATCTCGAATAGACTTCCTACTGGCTACGTACTAGTGTACTACTCTCATAAGAGAGAATTGAATGCAAAACTCATCAATAATTCTTGTGTTAAATAATTTTATACTCCTTGTTCCATATATATCAAATTTGTATTGTACAACCGTCAACATACTACGTACTCCTTTTAACACAAGGTTTAGAGAAGGATTATGTATCATATGTAAAAATTATTTTGAATAATTTATCTATTTACATCATATAATTTCAACCTCAAAGTATGTGTCATAAGGATTAAGGCTGTTTTGCTAAATTAAAACAAAGGAATATATTCTTCATCGATTTAACTACTAATAAATGAAATTTCTTACCTTAAAAGACATTCAAATTCCATTATGCACGCTAAATGTAAGTGATAGAATACAAATGCAATATTGATATTTTTAACGGTTTTTTCACCAAATACCCGTGAGTACGTAATTCGTTTATTCACCATATACTTATGAAACTTTCCAAATACACCACATGCCCCCGAGTTTAACAAAAATGCCCAAATACCCAAATGACTAACGAACGTCAACACCGTTAGTCATTAAGGGTTAATTGTGTCACATGACATCCGTTGATTGGTTGTTTTTTAAATTTATTTAATTAATTATTAAAAAAATAAAAAATTACAAAAAAAAAAAAAAAAATATAAAAAAAAAACCCAAACCCCAGCCACCCTCCCCGCCCCACCACCACCAGCCCCGCCCAACCTCCTCCCCCACTTGGCGCCAGCCACACTCCCTCCCGCTGGCGCCAGACCTCCCCCACGCCGGCGACCACCACCCTAACGACCACTCTCCACCAGCGACCCCAATCTCTCTCCTCTTGCACGAACCCAACCCCTCCCCCGCTCTGGCGCCGGGATAGCCCCTACCTATCTCATCCCCCTCCCCCACGGCCGGCGCCGCACCCTCCTTACCTAATTTCGTCGCTCCCTTCCCCTTTAACCATTATCACAAACCCTAGATCGAGAACCCTTCACCCTTTAAACCCTAGATCGAAAATCGGGAGAGGAGTGTTGGTCGTCGGCGAGGGTTGGGGGAAGGGGCTGGTGGTGGTACTGGTGGTGAGGCTGGGGACTAGGGTCTAGGCTGAGTTTTTTTTATTTTTAAAATTTAATTTTTTTTTTAAATTTTTATTTTTTAATAATTAATTAAATATATTTTAAAAAAACAATCAATTAGAGGATGCCACGTGGCATAATTAATCCTTTTGGAGCATTTTTGTTAAATTTGGAAGCATATAGTGCATTTGTAAAGTTTCATGGTTATATGATGAATAAATGAATTAACCAGGGGTATGAATTATTTTGGGAGAACACGAAAAAAAAAAAAAAAAAAAACTATATTCTGCAGTTCATTTGGAAAAAAAAGAAAAAAAAAAGGTGATTTTAGAAAGACAGAAAAAATTCCCTTGCTTGAGTGTAGTATTCTCATCCACTTACTTTCCCTCTCGACCTCTCTCTCACCAGTCATCCCCACCGCTGCCATTGCCACCGCCGGCACCACCATTAACTCCGTTACTTCACGACAAACTTATACACACGCTATTTTCTTATTAAGAACTGAAAAAAAAATAAAGGAAAATGAGAGCAGGGATAGTAGGCATTGTTCATGGAGGTCCCACTTTCACTTCTAGCGCCACCGCTTCACGGTTGCGCTCTTTTCCACCTCGTTCTCTTCATGTTCGATGCTTTTCTTCTTCCGGTATTTTCACTTTCTTTCTTTAATTATGATCTTTCATACAAAATTGTAATTTCTTAATTTGCTCTGTTTACCTAGAATTAGAGGTTTGTTGATTCATAATCTGGTTTTGTTAATCCACAATTAGGTTTTCTGGGTATCTGTTTTAATGAACTGGGTATCTTTCTTTTTTTAAATTTTTGTAATGGGTTGTAGTATAATATTGGATTGAGTATATTAGAATGATTTGCAATTTTGATGTGGATTTTTGGTGATAAATGTGAGAATGTAGAATTTGTTTGTGTATTCAGCATTTATTTGATAACAATGGTGGAATAAGATTTTTGTAATTAAGCTGAAAGGATGACTCTCAATTTTAGTTGTAAGCTGTAACTCTATTTTGATAAATGTTGGCTGTTAGGAGGGTGAATTTTATCAACAACTACCCACTTATGGCGTGATTTAATCTCCTTAATTTGCGAATTCGATGTGTTGGTTGGTTCATGGAGGGGTGGATTATAAGAAATGGCTTTGTAATAAGATAGAGAGTAGACAATATAAAGGAAAAGAATAATTTAGGCTCATGTGAGTGACAATTATATGTGATTTAGAGTTAAGTTACCTAATTAGTTCTGTTATGGAATCTGAAGTGATGGGAATCTGGTTGTGGGCAAAAATTATGGACGGGTTTTTGTTACCAAGTTTTCTCTTGGTGATGTGCTTATGGTGGAATGAAATTGATGTAGTATTTATTTCTAAGGCTAATTCGAGTTGTGTTTTCGTTCATAAAGAAAATAATAATTTGGTACTTGCAGTAGTGTTTTGATTGATAGAGCTATTTACAAGATGAGGGTTGAGCTTGATCTTGATTTACTTAAGTTTGCATTGGCTTATGCAAGACTCAGATGTGAAGATTTTGTGTTGGATTATCTATTAGTTTAGGTTGCTTGCTTGAAGGTTCAGCTAGATAAAAAATAAAAATCTATTATTCTTCTTGTGAGATTATGATACTTGTGTGCAGCATAGTGGTAGTTATTATGATTTAGCGATTTACAGTCATGACTACGTGAGACAAACGATTAATGTTAGTATAATTTACAGTTGAAAGCTTGCTTATGAACTTATAATTTTCTTGAAAAGTAGAGGTTAGTTGGTAGATAAAGTGTTTATGGACGACATGCCTGCATTATACTTGATTGAGTTCTGTCTTTTACCATTTTACCTGCTATCTGTTTTATGAACTTTTATACATTTCTGTTTTAATTATGTAAAAATATGTGCAGGCCATGTATCATTTATAAAGGATGTTGCTTGCACTCAACCCCCTGAGCATCTTCATGAGCTGCTAAATGTGCTACAAACAAAGGGTATAGTTCATACATACTCAACCATCATCTTTGAGGGATCAAGATTTCTATGGTATGGCGTGTGGTAAATTAGGAAAGTATTGTTTTTAACATCATAAGCTCACAAGTCATGATACTATATCTAGTTAAAAACTGATTTGATCCATGCATCAAATAAGATTATATCATGGTTTTGATTCCACTAGTACTAATTATATTATTTCTATATAATCAGTAGTCTTCAAAAAAAAAAAAAAATCTATATAATCAGTAATCAAGAAGTATGTGTATTCATGGCTGTTTGTGGACTGTGGGTAGTTCGTAGTGACTGTTCAACACCGACATGGAATCCTGATATTATCATTTTTTTTTTTTTTGGCATCAGCGATATTATCAATATACATTAGTTAGGGGAAACAAAACCCTTACATGTATTTTATGCTGTCATTGCTTAAATATAAGGCTGCATATGCCCAGATAAGGCAGGAGCCAGCATAATTGTTGTTTTCATATCTGCAAATATTTTTTTTCTTTGGCATCAGATGTCAAAAGTTTTTAGCCTTACCTTGTTTTATTAATGTTTCGGATGAAAACAATCGAATCTCGGAAGATCCTTTTATCTTGAGGGAACTTGGTCTCGGTCCGAACGACGCAGGAGCCGAGGGTTTCCTGCACAACAAATACACGTAAACTAGCCTCGGGGGGGACGCCGAGGAAGGCCCCTCCGATGCTTAAGTCAGTATATTAGAGAGAGAAAGCTGTGCAAGAGTTTAGTTGCTTGAGGCTTTATTGTCTTACCAAGAATTGACCAAATTGTTGGCTTTTATACCTTGGCTAATGAAGGAGGCGGATTGGGCCCGGAAGTCAGTTGGGCTGGGCCAAGCTGATTGGGCCGTTGACTGACCTTGACATGGCTTTGAGGATGTTGATTTTTGACTTTAGCACATTTGGAGAGTTGAACCTTAACCTTGGGCTTTTAATTGGATCATTCAGTGACCAGGCCCAATTGGACTAAATTGGACCCAAACAACTTGCCCCCCAGACCCGATTTGGAAGGATGACGGGTCGGGTTTGATTTAATCAGAAAAGGAGGGAAGTGAATGATTTGTTAATCCAAAAATGTGAATTTGAACCGTAATTAACCCATGATTAATGAGATAACAACAGTTAATGTGGATAATTGCGGAAGTCGGACGGGTAGTGGGCGACTTAACTGCAAGGTCGTGTGTTTAACGGTTACTTAGTGGGGTGCTTGAGAGAAATTGAAACGCAGACTCCTTGAATTCCCATTTCTGGAGATATAAATAGAGGCGCGTCTTCTCTCCCCACTCACTCATCAACACAAACCCAGAATTCTCAAGAACGCTCAAGAGCCCGCATCAAAACTTCGCAAATTCCCCGAGCATTAAGCTTAGAAGCTGAGACTTGTCACTACCAATTCGTAAATCGGCGGCTTTTGCTTCAGATCAAGGTAAATTCCTTTGATTTTATTTCATCTTTCTTCGACTTTGCACTCTTTCCCCTTTTTCGACTTTTTCCTTCGAAATTCGTCAATGGTGAGGGGAGTTAGAGGTGGAGCCCGTGCTCCAAGAAGAGCAAGGCTAATCCCCGATCCCAGGGACAGGATTGGGACCTGGAATGGACGAAGGACAGAGTCTGACCCTGCTGAAGGGGTTAGGGCGACTCCCATTTCTTCGGCTCCTCCTCAGAGGGCTGAGGGGGTGAGAGCTTCAGGACGGGATGATGAAGTTCCCGCTGTCCTTTGGGATATCCTCCCAGGGTTTTCAGAGTGGGAGGATGCCGAAGTAGCTTCGGCCATGATAAAGAACCGTCCCTACTCATGGTGGGTAGAGAACGCCGATCAATATCGATTTGCTGAGCAAATTGAGTTGCACTACGGCATTTTTGAAGCTGATGGATATTGGTGCCGAATGCCCTCAGCATCCGATAGAATCCATCGTCCACCCCCGGGGTATGTGGGGGTGTACACGAGACAGCTTCAGTATGGGCTGAGGTTCCCTTTGGACGTATTCGTTCGAGACTTGCTGATCCATTACAACATTTCCCTGTGCCAGCTGACCCCCACCAGCATCCGAAGGGTAATGACGTACTTATGGGTCTGCAAATTCTTCAGATACGTGCCGAACCTGCACTGCTTCAGAAAGCTCCATCGGCTAGTGCCAAATATTCAGAGTGGGCACGGAAGCCATGGTTCTGGGTGGTATCGGATTGAGTCTCGGCCCCCGTTCCTAACCATGTGGCCGAACGACTCTTCAGACAAGGACTGGAGAGGTCAATGGATTTGGGTTAGGGCGCCCACGGAGCCGAGCCATCCTTATGTTTTCAGCGCTCCCCGGTATCTTGCCGAGCCGGATCCTGATATGGGAAGTTTAGGTCCTCCCGAAGATAGCGGGCCAGACCCGAACCTTAATCAGCAGAACATCTTCGGCAAGCTGCCGAACCGGGGAGGCAGCGGCCGAATGCAGCATATCCCGGAGACTTGGCTCCCCGATACGCACTATGTTTTCCAAGAGAATATGCTGGCAGCTGTCGGCCTCAGCCGAAAGTTTAGGGATGGTAATCTTCTTCGGCTGGGGCCGAGGCCTTTTAATTATCTCTTTTCTTCTTTCATTTTGCTTTCTTGTGATGTGCCGAACTAACTGAATTGACTTCTCCCCTTTTCTTTTTCAGAACGGGACGAGACCAACGTCGGCATTGATTACGCTCGCCTTGGCGTCAACCGAGAACGAGTCGTAACTGATCGGGCTCCCCCTATCACTGAACCAAGGCGCCGAGAGGTTCACCTAGACTCTTCCCACTTCCAAATTGAGGCTGTTGCTCTGTATCAGAGGCAGAAGCCTTGGTGGAAGAAGAGGGATCCCTTGTTTCAGCTGCTGGAAGAAGAAGCTGAAGCTGCCCGTACAGCCGAAGAGGTTGCACGGGTTATTGAAGCTTGTGAAGGTGGAGAAGGGTCCTCCAGAGTTGCTGAAGAAGCTGCGGCTAGGGCAGCTGAAGAAGACGAGGCTTTGCTGAAGACCTCGGTGAGCCTTTAGACTTAACTTTGTCTTTCTTCTTTTTTTTTTTTTTTTACTCACACTCTTCTTCCCCCTGTCTGTTACAGTCTGAAGAGAGTAACAGACACAGAGAAGGCAAAGCTCCTGTTCGTCCCGAAGATCAAATACAAGAGTCTTCAGATTCAGATATGGACGAGCAGCCCCTTCTGAAAAGGCGCCGAAGGATGGCCATCATCGGCCCTCATGATTTTCAGCAGAGGCCGATGACCATCGGCGTCGCAATAAGGGAACCTGAGGAAGGCAATGGATCGCCGAGGGTTCCCCAGCCAACACCCCAATCTCCTCAAAAGACCCCTCCACCACCTCCTGAGATGGAGGTGGATCAGAGAACTCCCGGACCTAAGGGAGGGGTCCAAGAAGAAATCAAGGAGAGTGCTGCTGAGCACGAAAATAAAGATGCCGTGATGTCAAGTGCTGAAGGCTTCACGGCAGATATCGCAAGAGAGGTTGAGGCTTTCGTCCTCACCCCTGAAGAAGAGGAGGTCATAGTACTTGACTCCTCTGAGAAGGACGATGCTGAGACAACCAAAGCTAATCAAGCTCCATCGTCGTCCTTCCCTTCTTTCCAGACTCTGCATTCTGGAGAAATGGGTTTCTCGGCCCCCCGAATTCCAATCCCAGATCACATCTGGGACCTCATATGGGGTCAAAACCGAGAAGGAGCTGAAGCCTACTTCGGCAGTTTTGCTGGCATGTCCGAAGTAGACAGGGCAAGGATCTGGTCGCTGAAGGCCACTGCTGGGATGGGCGAATCCAGTAGATCAGTTCCTGACCCAGCCAGGTCTAACCAACTGCTGATGATGCAGGTAATTTTCCTTCATTTCCTCCGAAATTCAGCTCTATTTTTTTTTACTTATTTTTTGTCTTCCTGTTTTCAGTTCGTGCACAATCAGACTCTCACTGTTGAGCTGATTGATACCCTACAAGATAGGGTAGACGCTGCTGTGCACGAAAGGAAGGTGGCTGAAGAGGAAGTTAAGCTTGCTAAGCTGAAGCAAGCAGCAGCTGAAGAGAAGCAGCAGGAGGTTGAGGATTACGGTAAAAAAGCTGCCGAAGCTCTGAAAACCTTCTGCGATGCTATGGAGATGGAGGTTTTTCCCCCACTGATGGAAGGGGAAAAATTCCTCCAGGAGCATATGGGAGTGGACGTCTCCAAGTTCAAGGCTGCTATTGAGAGCCGAATTCAAGGAACTGCTGCACAAGCTGAAGTGCAGCAGCGTCTAGAGGCTCTTGAAGCCAGCCGAATGGCTGCTGAAGAGTTGCTCTTGGCCAAAGACGTCCAACTCTCAGAGGCTGCTGCTGCTGCTGAAGCTCAAAGAGCTAAATTCCAAGAGGCTGAGGATCAACTGCTGATCCAGAAAGTTGAAGTGGCCCAAGCTCAGACAAAGGCTTTCCAAATTCAGCAAGAGCTGAATGAGCTGAAGGGTTCCTCCTCCAAAGTCGCTGATGAGCTGAAGAAATCCAAGGAAGACTTGGAGGAGACCCAGAAGAAGCTGGCTGATGCTGAGGCTTCACTCAAGGTCCGTGTCTATACCCAAGAGGAATATGAGATGGGTTTCAGAAACGGATTTCGAGTCTGCCGAAGAGTCTGCCTTCATGCTGAGCCGAAGCTGGACTGGTCTAAATGTGCTGAGTGGGTCCAGAATCCCGAAGACCCTCACATGAAGTATGCAACTCCAGCTGAAGCTGAAATTCTTAAGGCTGAGGAAGCCGAAGAGGAAGCTGAAAGACTGGAGTTGGAAGCTGAGCAGAGGGAAAGGGAGGCTCGGCAAAATGCAAAGCCCGCCTCTTCTGCTGCTGGGGCTGAGGCCACCATGGGACTCAACGCTGATCAGTCTGATCCCCCGGCTGAAGCATAGGAACTCGGGCAGTCGTCTTCAGAATCTTGCGGTTCATCATGTGCTTAACTTTAGACTCGCCGCTTTCTGAGTTTTTTGCCTTGTTTTT